CTGGCATAATAAAGCATATGTAAAGTAGTTAAACTACTTGATTCTAATTTTAACTGAACTGTGTTATTTGAGTGTGTGTTACATTTAAAGTTAAAGCCCCCTGTGGTGAAAATCAAGTTTTTAGCGTTGTTTACATGTCTATCTGTTTTTTTGTTTATTTGCTTAAAGACAAACCATGTGCAAATTCCTCAGTCAACACCACTGCAGAGTATATTTTCCTTTTTAAGGAGAATATACAGTGTACAAAAAATCAGTCTCAAAAACACAGTTTGAAATGGCCCCCATTTCGTTCAAAACAATTTTTTAACCAATCCTGTGAACATGTGGGACAGGCCTTTTCATATATGGTCAAAGGTTTCTATTTACAACATGTTTTTGAAGGGTTGAGTAATACAGAGAATCACAAACATAGCTGTTCATTTCTTGATCACAATGGCCAATCAGAGGTGTTTATATTAGTCAGAATCCAGAGTTTTGTTCAGTGCTGATTTCTGCACACTCCTGAAACCTCGTGTTATAATAAACAAGGCGTAGACACGATGTAAATAACAGATTAAGTGTGCAGTGTAGAGGCTAGAGCTTCATTGATTATAACGGAATGAGATTGCGATGAACTAAACTGAGAGGCAGCTTTTCAGTGATTATAAGGGGATCGCTCTTTGTACGCTTTCTAGGCTATATAATCTATTCAGAATTTCAATACATTCACTAACAGATTCATTCTCGAAAGTTAAATGGATGACATAGCGATAACCATTAATCCAAGATTACCACTGTGATTATCATTGTGTAGCGTCTACTATAGCACTTACTTTTGCTAACTGAGTAAAAGTGGTGCGGGTCCGAGGTGGTGCCATTGAGTGGAGGCGGGGACTAATTTGAATATTCACATATCCGTGTATACTCAAAGAGGTAAGGGTGTAGAGATACATTTAAGCCATTTTAAGACATGAAGAAATTATGTTTAAACATGAAACAAAAAAACATTTGATCAAAGATCAGTTTTAAGGGATAAAATTATTGACTACAGGTGGACTTTAATACATTTCTTAAATGTACTAAACTGCAACATAATCATTACAAATGTGTAAAATACCAATATACAAATACGCTCTAAAGTTCAGCTAACTGCATTTAATATAAATTGAAACTACAATACATTTTCATTTACAATACATGTCATTGCAATTAACATGCAATTAAGTGTCTGAAAACATTATTTTAGGTTTGCATTTAAGTATTTTCTTTTAAAGTATATTATTTCGGTTGTAGCTACTCTTTTTAAATGTATGCTAAGTGTGCTTATTTTTCATAAGGGATGTCACACCAGTAGCTAGAAAAAGTCGTTTTATTCTACAAGTCGCCCCTCAAGGGGAATTTTTTTTCGTCCTCCATTCTTCTTGACACCTCTATAAGCATAATTTGCATTGATATCAATCTTCAATCGTCCACCTGACAGCCATAATAAACAACCACACTATCTGAAGACTTGTAAACAGAGTTTTATCTCTAATTCAACAGAGCCTCTTAATCTTCAAGGTGAAAGTTTTCTTTAGAACTTTCAATAGACTTAAAATATACAGCGCAAGAACATCGCTGGGAGAAAACATGTAAGCTCATTTATAAGGAAGAAGTCACGCTGCATTCTATCACTTAAATACATCAGTGGACTGAGAAGCCACTGTGTACTTGAGATATTTCTATGTAAATCTCTCTCTATAATCCTATATTTTCCAGTACATTGACTTTTAATGCCTGCATTTGTCTTAAAATGGCCTTAAGCAAATATTTTTTTAATACCACACATACATGTCCCTACTACCTGACAGATAACACTGAAACAGGTGTCCAGAGAAATCACATCTGTCTGTAATAGCCCTAGGCTCTGTAAACAGCAAAAAAGTGTCAAGAAATACTGTATTTTCCGGAATATACGTCATATTTCTTTTTAATCATCTGGAACGTGCTGTGACTTAAATAAGGCAATTAACATCAAGCACGGATCTATTGCTAATTGACATCACAGCCCACTCATCATAACACTAAAATGCAGTCAATGAAAGAAAAAGTTACACAGCTCAGTTTAAATTGATTGTTGTACAGTATGAAGAAAAACTGAAATGATACGCCAAGGATTTTGAAAGGCCAGAATCACTGAGTGTGATGACGGTGATTTAGTGATTTATTTTGATACATTTATTTTGAGGCTGATGAGTGATTTATTTTGATGAATTTGTGGTAAAGCACTTGGCATTTATACTAAATATTGTTTATAATGAATACTAATATATGTTTATTTTATACTTCTGTCATTTGTTCTTGTTCTGAATAGTGATTAATGGAAGGAGGTGTTGTGGAGTGAGAGGAACTAAAATGCATGTTTATAATGTTTATAGATAATGTTAATTTACTGGTATTTTGCATTATTTCCGAATGTAACAATAACATGACTTGTCTATGTTTTTTCCCATCAACACTCTACAGCAGGGGTCACCAGACACGGTCCTGGAGGGCCAGTGTCCTGCAGAGTTTAGCTCCAACCCTAATTAAACACACCTGAACCAGCTAATCAAGCTCTTACTAGGTATACTTGAAACTTCCAGGCAGGTGTGTTGAGGCAAGTTGGAGCTAAACTCTGCAGGACACCGGCCCTCCAGGATCAAGTTTGGTGACCCATGCTCTACAGTATGTGACTTATACTCAGCTGCAACTTTTTTTTTTTTCTAGAAAATACAGTACTTCCTGCCAGAGGCGGATTTAGTGAATTGGGGGCCCCAGGAAAAATATTGGAATGGGGCCCTATACATTTGCACACATTTTCCTAGATCAACCTTGAGGTTTCTTTTTGTTGTGATGCTTGCTGCTGCTCAATGGTGCCCCATAGTTGTGTCCAGTGTTTCTACATTTTTCATGTACATGTTATAATGGCTTTCTTTCATGTTGTAGACAACGAAATAGCAACTGATTTACAGTTGAGATACAGGTTTTCACAAAAACAAAATAAATTATAAAATAATAAACCTCTCAATTGAGCGTTTAAACCAGGGGTGAGCCAGAAGTATAAATTATTATATTAATTTAAAATGGGGTTATGTGAGTGGATTTTCACATTGATCTGAACAAAACCTACAGACTGGATTATTGAAAATGAACATTCATTCTCTGCCAGTAGGAAGAAAAGTGTGAAAAAAATATAGCCTATATTGATGAGGAAAGTCCACTGATGAGTTACCACCTTAAGCCTGTGTGCAAAGGCTGTCTAATTCTAAACTTTAAATACACACTGTTTCTCAATATTTAATTACAGCTTCAGATGCATAATATTTTCATCTCCTTCAAGCAGGGTACTCAAAAAGCACGGTCAACTCGGACCAGGGGTGCCTGCAGGATTTCTTTTGAGGGTACACACAGATTTTTTTTGGGGGGGGGACCAAATAATCAGTGAGAGTAGAACGAATGTGTTACACGTTTTAAACTCAACAAAATGGTAAAATACATAGGGCCTATATCAAGAGCATGCTCACAGATGAGAACAAAACAGAGTTGGATGAAGTGGATTAAAGCCCTGCACGGGCCTCAAGTAGGCCCTAGCCCGTCTTTTTTCCCCTTTTCCTAGAAAAAGCTTATATTACTGTTTCAGCTATTAAAATAGTTCAGTCTTGTATGTAATGGAAAAGTGATTATATTTCGTTTTGTTTTTTTATAAAGTAAAATGTAAGGGTTTTTTTTTTTTTTTTTTTTTAAGTAAAGGCCAGGGGCAGACAGTGAGTTGATCATAGCCTATATGTCTGATCAATTTTGCCTTTTCAAATCATCACAACTTGCCTAAAATAAAATCTATATAGCCTATAAAACAGTTCAAGCATATCACAATGTTTAAATATTTAACATAGCTAAATGTGCGCTGTTAGACGCATATCTAATCGTTTGTGTGGCGAGTGGAAGCTGAAGCATGCTCTGCAGGACATGGAGGCGCCAGCGCAATCACTTGCATTTTTTTCTAACAGTGGAAACAACTTAAAATACGCAGTCATTTTTGCTCATAAAGGTAAGAGTAATACATCATTCTAAACTGTAAAGGGTCTACTTTTATTTGTGTACACTCACAATATCAACAAAACGTTGTGCTTTTATAAAATAAAGAAAACAAACGCTTTCTGCCGTCTCGGGCTTGAACAGGAGCGCTTCACAATGATGAACCTAAACTCAACGAATTGTCTCACAGACGTGATAAAAATATATAGAAAGCTTTAAATTACTACTTTAAAACAAAATAATTCATTTGTATTCATTATGTAATCCATGCATTTCTCTCTAAAGGCACATCCAATGAGGAGATGGCGAGTCATTTTTTTCATCACCATAATTGATGGATGTCTAAAATATAAAAATAAGGAAAAGCCTAAAACAGGACCGATTATAATTTGCGTTTTATTTTATAATTCCATACAATTAAAAAAATAAAACACGTTCGCGTGTCAGTGCTTAATGCGCATATCCTATATGAAACTCATTTTAGGAGGCCCTTGGCTTTTGGGGGCCCAAGGCGGTTGCCTACCTTTGCCTAATGGGTAAGTCCGCCCCTGCTTCCTGCCTGTCAGTGATTCCAGTTAGTCTCAAACTCAGTCAAACCATCCAACAGCCATTCACTGATATATTGCACAATAAAACGTTTTTTTTGATCAGGTTGAATGAAAATTGTGTAAAGAAGGATAGCCCCACCCCTAAATGACATATTAAAACTAAACAAATTTTGATTGGTTGCTTTACATGTCAGTTAGGTGGTTTCCTCCTGTCTGGAGAGTGGACAGTTCTTGGCCAGAATAAATTGTCACAAAAAGTAAAATGTCTGGTCTTGAGCGACTAGTGGGAAGTGAGCAAACAACTGAAATCACTTACATTTTTAACTGTCAATATCCAGTTAGCTACAGTAGCTAAAGATGCTAGAAGCCTGAAGCATATCCTTGTCTCCAGATTTCCTTATGCATCACTATGGTTACCTGAGAATCGCATGGAGCCTCCTCTGGTGAAGAGGGGTGGAGCCTGGAAGGCATAGATGACATCACTCTCTGAGATACTCGTCATATCATCTTCATCAGAGAAAGAGCGCTGGAACCCATTTGAGTTCATCTCTGTCAAAATCACCTACGAGAGAAAGAGAAAATTTGATCTGAGAGTTAAACAACCTTGCACACCATGGAACGGATTATTCATATGAATGAGAAACTTGGGTCCAACTAAACGAAGAAGATTTCAGGTTCTTCTCCAGCTGTTTTCAAGAAGTTGTTGTCACATCACAAATCAACAGATAAGGGGATTTCAGCTCAAACACTCAGCATGACAAACTATTAGGCTCAGTGGTAGGTCTATTTCTATTGTTTTCTGTTTCAATCACTCAATCCATTACAATATTGGGCTATATATATATTACAAATCATATACATTAAAAATTGTGGCTAATATCAAACAGAAAATAGAACATCAAGTTGCATGGCACTGTATACAGTATACCACTCAGTTCTGTTATACAGCACAATCTGTAGTATGTAATACAGTAAGTGAGGTTAGTATAAGAGTATGCTATTCTGAACAAGCCAAGCACATACGCTACACACTCACCTCAATATCACCTCCCACCACAAGGGGGAGACACCATCTACATTAGTATAGCCGTGCTTATACCCTGTTAATACAAGGCTAACTTTTACAAATGGCCGTAATACCCAATCTGAGCTCTGTGAAACATGCCATATAAAAATCTGTTGCCTGAACCCAACAAATAATATTCAGTATTGATATCTGTGTACACTAAAGGCTAAGTAGGCAGTCAGTAATCCCTTTTCCCTTAATCTCTGAGGAAGGCTGTGCCCTGCGCTGATGTTTTCTGCCCTCTCATATTGTTTGGGTAGCGCTGAAATAGCCACAGCATCCTGTAAGCATCTCCGCAGTATTACTCAGAGCTGAAGAGATGAACACTGTATAAAAGTTTAATAACGCTCTTATACAATTATGAATAAAACAATTAGAGCAAAGAGCTGAATTAAAAATGTAACATTAATTTCAGAATTTCTTAGTAGTTGGTAAGCCCCTTTCATGGAGGCACTGAGAGCTGGAAAAGAGACAACCTTAAAAAGGGAGGTAACAGGGTCTTTACCTTGCAGTAATAGCATCTGGCCATCTATTCCTTACCAGATGCATAATATCTTCTTCCATCCTCGGGTCATACAATTTACGTGCATAATTTGAATGCACTAAATTAGTTAGGCAGATAAGTTAAAGGGGTCATATGATGCGATTTCAAGTTTTCCTTTCTCTTTGGAGTGTTACAAGCTGTTCGTGAATAGATAAGATCCCTGAAGTTGCAAAGACTAAAGTCTCAAAACCAAAGAGATATTCTTTATCAAAGTTAAGACTCTGCCACACCCCCCTAAAACGGCTCGTTCTAACACGCCCCCACATATCTAGGTCACTATGTGGGAATATTTGCATAATGCGCCCAAATGTGCACGCAAAGAAAGAAGGCGTGGTTTCAGTAACCGCAGTTAGTGTTGAAGCAGCCATGTCAGGGAGACGCTGTGTGTTTCTAGGTGAAAGCAAAAGCACTTTATTTGGCCTTCCGAAAGTAGATGCATTTAGGAATCTTTAAGATTACT